ATCTGGGTGGAGGCTGCCAAGCTCCTGTAGCTCTTAGCCTCCATCTGTGTCTGCCTCAGCAACCAAGGCCCTTGCATGAAGCCCTGACCCCACCCATGTGGGCTCCCACTCTAGAACCTCAAACTCCAAAACAGGAGTCCCCGTATGCACGACTGTGGAGAGAGGAGCGGGAGGAAGCCTGGCAAGTGGGCAGCTCACCTGGGAAGATGAAGATGAAGAAGGAGCTGAGGCTGCCAGTGACACCAACGATCTCACTGAGGTCAGGCACAAACAGCGCGGTGGCGAGCGTCATGGCGACCCACAGGATGGTCAGTGGCATCCGGACCCATGGCCCCGAGGGGTCAGCCAGTGCCCTGGGCCCCCATGTCCCCCAGCAGCTCCTCTTCCAGAAGTCCTGCATTACCGACCTGGAGGCCATGACCACCAGACAGGTGCCCATCCCCAGATGCTCCAGTCGGCACCTGCTGGTCCCCACCTTCCATCCCAACTCCCCCCATTCCCAACAGGGCTCCCGTTCCACACCCAGGTGCCCAGTCCTCAGGGGACCTTGCCAACCCTCTGGGACTAAGCCACCTGCAGGCTGCCGATGGGGCAGGGCATGGGGCAAGGGCTTGAACAACACTCTGACTTTGGGCAAACTACCCAAATTCTCTGTGCCTGTTTCCGGTCAGGATGTTAGGGACATCTGGATAAGGGTACCCAAGTTCAATGTCTGCTGGACATGGCTCTTCTTATAAGAGGAGAGAATCACAAACTCGCACTGAAGGGAACTACTGTGTGCTGTGCACCTACCATGTGCCAGGCACCTACAGTGCACGTGGCCTGAACCCCTGCCCCTGCGGTCTGGGGTCTCTGTTCTGGGCACCAGTGGGTCCCTGCAATGCTCCTCCTGCCTCTGAGGCCTGCCCAGCCTCAGCCTTGCTGGCTGCCTGTCGGGGCCAATGCCATGGCTCACTAACAGTGGGAGGTCTTTCAAGAAGCCGTCATGGCAGAAACTGGGGACAGGACCGGAGAGGGACCTCCCAGAGCACTTTCTGCATTTTGAGCCATGTGACTTTCACGTATTTCAAAATTTTTTAAAATAAAAGAATAGGCGGCTCAGTGCCTGTGA